ACAGAGCTGGTGGTTGGTGGAGACCTTGTGCTCCTCCACCTTCCATAAGAGAACGCCTCACAGATGCTCAATAGGGTTTAGGTCTGGAGACATGCTTGGCCAGTCCATCACCTTTACCCTCATCTTTAGCAAGGCAGTGGTTGTCTTGGAGGGGTGTTTGGGGTTGTTATGTTGGAATATTGCCCTGCAGCCCCAGTCTCTGAAGGGAGGGGATCATGCTCTGCTTCATTATGTCACAGTACATGTTGGCATTCATGGATTCCTCAATGAACTATAGCTCCCCAGTGCTGGCAGCACTCATGCACAGCCCCAGACCATGACACTCGGACCAGCATCCAAGACACACTTGTCTTTGTATTCCTCACCTGGTTGCCACCACACACACTTGACACCATCTGAACCAAACAAGTTTATCTTGGTCTCCTCAGACCACAGGACATGGTTCCAGTAATCCATGTCCTTAGTCTGCTCATCTTCAGCAAACTGTTTGCAGGGCTTTCTTGTGCATCATCTTTAAAAGAGGCTTTCTTCTGTGATGACAGCCAAGCAGGCCTATTTGATGCAGTGTGCGTCTTATGGTCTGAGCACTGACAGGGCTGATTACCCCCCTTCAACCTCTACAGCAATGGTGGCAGCACTCATACATATATTTCCCAACAACCTCTTGATGATGCTGAGCACGTGCACTCAACTTCTTTGGTCAACCATGGTGAGGCCTGTTCTGAGTGGAACCTGTCCTGTTAAACTGCTGTTTGGTCTTAGCCACCGTGCTGCAGTTCAGTTCCAGGATCTTGGCAATCTTCCTTATAGCCTAGACCAGCGTTTTTCAACCACTGTGCCGCGGCACACTAGTGTGCCGTGAGTTATTGTCTGGTGTGCCGTGGGAAAAATTCCAATTTCATCTGTAACATGTGGCTTCGGCTCTCACAAATAGACCAATCATTAGAATCTAATTGATTCAGTGGTCGGCAAGCCGCGGCTCGCGAGCCACATGCGGCTCTTTACCCAGTCTAATGCGGCTCTTCTGTGTGCCGGGCGCCTGCTCCCCTGCCTCCTCTCGGTTGGCAGCCCCAAAAGTCCGCATCGCGGACCATTTAAATCCGGCTTGCGGATGTGGCTGTCAGGATGTGTGTAGGCGGGGCAGCGTGCCGAACGTGAGGGGAGGGGAGCTAGGCTCCTCTCACAGTCCGCCCTGAAGACCCGAACGGCGCGGGAAGACAGCGAGAGGAACGCAAAAGGTAAGTGAATTGACACGGGGGACTTGGCTTACTAGAAGGGGGGGGGGGAATAGTACTGTGGGGGATGAAATACTATATGAGGGAATGAATTACTTTATGAGGGATGAAATACTATATGGGGGGATGAAATACTATATGGGGGATGAATTACTATATCAGGGATGGTACTGAATTACTATATGAGGGATGAAATACTATATGGGGGATGAAATACTATATGGGGGGATGAATTACTATATGAGGGATGAAATACTATATGAGGGATGAAATACTATATGGGGGGATGAATTACTATATGAGGGATGAATTACTGTATGAGGGATGAAATACTATATGGGGGATGAAATACTATATGAGGGGATGAAATACTATATGAGGGGATGAAATACTATATGGGGGGATGAAATACTATATGGGGGGATGAAATACTATATGGGGGATGAAATACTATATGGGGGGATGAAATACTATATGAGTGGATGAAATACTATATGAGGGGATGAAATACTATATGGGGGATGAAATAACTATATGGGGGTTGATGAAATACTATATGGGGGGATGAAATACTATATGGGGGGATGAAATACTATATTGGGGGGATGAAATACTATATGAGGGATGAATTACTATATGAGGGATGAAATTACTATATGGGGGGATGAAATACTATATGGGGGGATGAAATACTATATGAGGGATGAATTACTATATGGGGGGGATGAAATACTATATGGGGGATGAAATACTATATGGGGGATGAATTACTATGGGGGATGAATTACACTATGGGGGATGAATTACACTATGGGGGATGAATTACACTATGGGGGATGAATTACACTATGGGGGATGAATTACTATATGGGGGATGAATTACTATGGGGGATGAATTACTATATGGGGGATGAATACTATATGGGGATTAATTACTATGGGGGATGAATTACTATATGGGGGATTAATTACTATGGGGGATGAATTACTATGGGGGATGAATTACTATATGGGGGATTAATTACTATGGGGGATGAATTACTATGGGGGATGAATTACAATATGGAGGATGAATTACTATGGGGGATGAATTACTATATGGGGATTAATTACTATGGGGGATAATTACTATATGGGGGATTAATTTACTATGCTTACTATGGGGGAATATTACTATACTTACTATGGATGACACATACACATCATTCATCTACTCTTGGTCCGGCCCCCGGGTCCAATTATATAAAATACTTTATTATTTCATAATAAAGTAATTATAAAATAATTTCTTTGTGTTTTTGATTCCTATTCAAAGAGAATTACTTTATATATTAGTCAATATAGGCACAGAGGTAAATTTTTTTAACATTTTTCTAATGGTGGTGTGCCTCGTGATTTTTTTTTCATGAAAAAAGTGTGCCTTTTGCACAAAAAAGGTTGAAAAACACTGGCCTAGACCATCTCTCCAGTCAGGTCCATAAATATTGGGCCATCGACACAATTCTAACATTTTTGGCTCTATACACCACCACAATGGATTTGAAATGAAACGAACAAGATGTGCTTTAACTGCAGACTGTCAGCTTTAATTTGAGAGTATTTACATCCAAATTAGGTGAACGGTGTAGCAATTACAACAGTTTGCATATGTGCCTCCCACTTGTTAAGGGACCAAAAGTAATGGGACAATTGGCTTCTCAGCTGTTCCATGGCCAGGTGTGTCCCTCATTATCCCAATTACAATGAGCAGATAAAAGGTCCAGAGTTCATTTCAAATGTGCTATTTGGAATCTGTTGCTGTCAACTCTCAAGATGAGATCCAAAGAGCTGTCACTATCAGTGAAGCAAGCCATCATTAGGCTGAAAAAAACAAAACAAACCCATCAGAGAGATAGCAAAAACATTAGGCGTGGCCAAAACAACTGTTTGGAACATTCTTAAAAAGAAGGAACGCACCGGTGAGCTCAGCAACACCAAAAGACCCGGAAGACCACGGAAAACAACTGTGGTGGATGAACCGAAGAATTCTTTCCCTGGTGAAGAAAACACCCTTCACAACAGTTGGCCAGATCAAGAACACTCTCCATGAGGTAGGTGTATGTGTGTCAAAGTCAACAATCAAGAGAAGACTTCACCAGAGTGAATACAGAGGGTTCACCACAAGATGTAAACCATTGGTGAGCCTCAAAAACAGGAAGGCCAGATTAGAGTTTGCCAAACGACATCTAAAAAAGCCTTCACAGTTCTGGAACAACATCCTATGGCCAGATGAGACCAAGATCAACTTGTACCAGAGTGATGGGAAGAGAAGAGTATGGAGAAGGAAAGGAACTGCTCATGATCCTAAGCATACCACCTCATCAGTGAAGCATTGTGGTGGTGTAGTGTCATGGCGTGGGCATGTATGGCTGCCAATGGAACTGGTTCTCTTGTATTTATTGATGATGTGACTGCTGACCAAAAGCAGCAGGATGAATTCTGAAGTGTTTCAGGCAATATTATCTGCTCATATTCAGCCAAATGCTTCAGAACTCATTGGACGCCGCTTCACAGTGCAGATGGACAATGACCCAAAGCATACTGCAAAAGCAACCAAAGAGTTTAAGGGAAAGAAGTGGAATGTTATGCAATGACCAAGTCAACCACCTGACCTGAATCCGATTGAGCATGCATTTCACTTGCTGAAGACAAAACTGAAGGGAAAATGCCCCAAGAACAAGCAGGAACTGAAGACAGTTGCAGTAGAGGCCTGGCAGAGCATCACCAGGGATGAAACCCAGCGTCTGGTGATGTCTATGCATTCCAGACTTCAGGCTGTAATTGACTGCAAAGGATTTGCAACCAAGTATTAAAAAGTGAAAGTTTGATGATTACTATTCTGTCCCATTACTTTTGGTCCCTTAACAAGTGGGAGGCACATATGCAAACTGTTGTAATTCCTACACAGTTCACCTGATTTGGATTCAAATACCCTCAAATTAAAGCTGACAGTCTGCAGTTAAAGCACATCTTGTTCGTTTCATTTCAAATCCATTGTGGTGGTGTATAGAGCCAAATATGTTAGAATTGTGTCGATGTCCCAATATTTATGGACCTGACTGTATGTAGAGCAACAATTTTTTTTTTTTAGATCCTCAGAGTTCTTTGACATGAGGTGCCATGTTGAACTTCCAGTGAGCACTATGAGCTTGAGAGCAACAAATTTAATACACCTACTCCCCATTTATATCTGAGACCTTGTAACACTAATGAGTCACATGACACCAGGGAGGGAAAATGGCTAATAGGGCCCAATGTGGCCATTTTCACTTAGGGGTGTACTGACTTTTGTTCCCAGCGGTTTAGACATTAATGGCTGTGTGTTGAGTAATTATGAGGGGACAGCAAATTACACTGTTATACAAGCTGTACACTCACTTTACATTGCAGTAAAGTGTAATTTTCTTCAGTGTTGTCACATGAAAAGAAAAAATATTTACAAAAATGTGAGGGGTGTACTCACTTCTGAGATACTGTATATCATCCAGCCTCTTTCAGCTTTGGGGCACAGATATGCACACCTCCTGCTGACCCAACGCTGTCACTTGCTACAGAGCAATTTTGTTAGCAAGTCCCAGTCGATCTATGTGCTGAGAGCTACCGCACAGCTGTAGCTCATTATAGCACAAATTCCTGGTATTTACAGAACACACAAGGCTCTGGACACAGATCAGCGATCTGCCCGTTTTTCTTCTCCCTGACAAGCCTGACTTGATTTTGTTCTGGGAACACAGCGCTGTATAATGTATGTAGCTGAAGCTACATATAGTTTTATACAGGGCACACAGCCACTGCTCTGTCAGTGAAGTAAATCATTTTGTTGGACCTGCTTGGTCCAGATGAACTAGAATAATATGAACTATAATAATAATAATAAATATTATATATCAATGTTCAAGGTCATTCCTCAAATACTGCAAGCAGGCAATGCTTTGGAAATGTACCTTAGTATTTATGATGGGCTATTTTATCTAACTATTGCATTGATTTAAAGCACCTGTGCAAGGCAAAAGAAATCCTGAGAAAATTACTTGTTGGGGAGAGCAGGTTACTTGAAAAATGAGGATGGAAACCATTATGGATCAGGATGTGGGAAAAAAAAAAAAAAAAAAAAAAGGAACAAACCCACACACAAATTAACAAAATTCATAGAATTTTATTGACAGACTTAACCAGGTTTAATAGTTCTGATCCATGTATGTTTTAGTGGCTACAAAATGTCAGTGTTGTTTGTCAAAATACTTCAATTTTCCGGCTGGGTCAGGAATTATCTGAAAAAACAAAAAAAAAATTAATAACTTTCTCTTATCCATGAATTCTGCTACACACTACTGACAATTAGGCTTCATTCACATGGTCAGTGTGAATGCTCAGTTTGTTAATGCGGATGAGGTCACCTGAAGCTGCATGCAAGCAGCTTATGATACGAAGACACCGCAGCTGTACAAACACTGCCACACATCCTAATTTGACTGGCATTGAGGGGATTCAGTAATATAGGCTACCAGCACGCATTTCCAGATGTGTAAACAACAACTTCATGCTTTACAGGCCTCAGCATTCATGTGAATGAAGCTCAAAAAGAATACACTAAAGCATGGGTGTACTGCACTAGTCCAATGACCAAAGGCGTCCCAGTTATCTGGGACAGATAAACACTTTAATAGATTTAAAAAGTAGGGCATGTACAATCTGAAGCACAGTAAGTACGATGCAAAAGATATACACTTTAACAGAGCTCAGCATAGTTTCACCCCTTGGTCTGGTTCTTTAGTGTAGTGCAAGTTTTCCGAATCATGCCCAGGAATGTGTACCATACCTGAAACCACTTTGAAGTAGTGGTCCTGAAACACGTGGTCTGGTACGGTTCACCTGAGTGCAAAGCATGGCAAAACACAGACCTCTCCATGTATTGTTAACCAGACCACAGTTATCCCTGATTAATAGAGGCAATGATTAGGTGTGCCTGGGAACATTTGCTTAAAGCCCAGAGAAATAGACTAGCGAAGTGTGGGGAGGGGTACAACTGAACTCTTTTTAGCACTTTTCAGTTCAACTATGCCCAGTGCGAGGGAACCCCCAAAAACAACCAAAATGGCAGTCACTTCTATCACTGCTAACAGACCATCCAAGCTCCTGTAAAGGAACGTGAAACACTGGAGACCACCAACCAGAGGGATGAGCATTCAACGCATCTGATGAAATGTGCTCCAACTCCCCCTCTGTTTATCAGCTAATAAGCATAGGCAGTTATGGAGTGCTAATTTCTATGAAGTGCTACCAAAACTATGCCAGCCATTCTTTGGAAATGTAATTCCTTTCTGATATTTAAGGGGCAAGGTTCACATAAGTGGTGCAAAAAAAAACAGTGAAGCCTGTGAAATTTCTGCGTGTGTCAAAGTTCAAAGTTAAGTTAATGACCCCTCAAAGACAGGTTGCAAAAAAAAAAAAAAAAAGCTTGATTGCCAGAAGTGGATTGCATGGTGTGAAACATCCATGCAGTCAGATTCTAATGGCAAAGAAAAAAAAATATCACTGCTTACATCGCGTGGGTGCGGTGGGACTTGTGCCATAGAAAAATCATTGTGTTCAAATCGCACTGCGAAGAATCACATGCAATTTGAATAAATGTAGCATGATTCCTAACCGAATCACATGTGGTTTCCCCACACTGGATGTCTGAGACAGGCTAAACCTCAAATCCAGCAAGCCTTGGATAGAGTGGGGCAGAGAAGCAAGCATAGCTTGTCCAAAATGCCAAAGTGACCTTACCCTTAAAACAGGGAAACCTATACAGTTTTGGGCAAACTTTGTGGCCTTTTTAGGCCTGATCTTAAATGCAGGAAAAAAGCAACTAAGTTTTACCTAAAGGAGAAAGGTGCCTAGAGCTCAAGTGTTAGGGAAAAAAAAAATGTAATCATATTTACAGACTGTTCGTCTTGCTTCTCCAGCATATGACCATCTCCACAGAATTACCAATTTTAAACTGGAATAGACCATGGCATGCATACAGGAGAGTATTAGCCAAAAGCGGGGAAAATCCTGATCCCTGTGAACCCCTGAGACAGCTTTTCCAATCAAGCTCCATATCAGACACAAACTTATTAGAATGAAGTAGGGTAGAGTGGCACATGGGGGAGGTGGCTTCCCATCAAAGCCTATGGGAGGCAGCATGTGAACCTAGGCGCCAGGATGCAATTTCTACTCGCCATGTTGATCTGGATTTGAGGAGCCCTGCAGTACATTGTGACTATTCTGCATAGACAGCAAATATCTTTAACCCCATTTGCTGCCAGACCAGTATGTGCACACGTTAAAACATTTTATACTTGAAGATTAGTTAATACCCCCTAAACAGTACATTTTCTGAAAGCAGAGAAACCCGTGAAAATAGAATAGCAGATTGGAATTTTTATGCCACGTGACATTCATGCATACAAAAACACTATTACCAGATCTTTTGGTTAAATTAAAAAAAAAAAAGTTTGTGCTTGGCATACCAAATATTTTCAGCCTTTAAATTACATGTGCCTGTGAAACAGCAACATTTTTTTTTTAGTACCCAAAAATTTCCAAAGGAGACACTTTAAAAGCTCTTACAGGTAATCTAGAATTCATCATTAACCACTTGCCTACTGGGCACTTATACCCCCTTCCTTACCAGGCCAATTTTCAGCTTTAATGCTGTCACACTTTGAATGACAATTCCGCAGTCATGAAAGATTGTACCCATGCAAAAATTTTTATCATAAATAGAGCTTTCTTTTGGTGGTATTAATTGCCGCTGGGTGTTTTACTTTTTGCACTATAAACAAAAAAAGTGCAAAAAAATTTTGGAAAATAAAGTTTGTTTCTATTATAAAACTTTGCAAACAGGTAATTTTTCTCCTTCACTGATTGCGTTGATGAGGCAGCAGTGATGGGCACTGATAGACGGTACTGATGATGGGTACTGATAGTCAGCACTGATAGGCGTCACTGCTGGGCATTGACTGGCACAACTGCTGGGTAGCACTGCTGGGCACAGGTGGGTGGCACTGCTCCCTGCTCCGACAACTGCCAGTTCTCGGCAGTACTTTCCCCCACGTTCTGACAGCGTGAGGAAAGTGCAGCCGAGAACCAGCAATTGCATTTCCCTGTGATCAGTGTGTCATTGGACACGGCTGATCACGTGGTAAAAGGCCGCTGTGATTGACCTTTTACCACTTCACATGATCAGCTGTGTCCGTAGGACACAGCGATCACAGAGATTGCCAGGTGGCGTGCACTCGGGGGCGCGCAGGAGAGCGCATTCTGGGGAGGACATCATATGACGCCCTCCCAGAACTGGCTGGCTGCAGTGCAGCTGTCATTCGGCTATCTGCGGTCAAACAACTGGTTAAATTCTCCAAGAACCTTGTTCTCACTAGAGCGTACACAGCAATATGCAGCCAAATAGACATAGTACACAAGTGTCATGTGTTTATGCATGAGCATGTATATTGGGGGGGTTTCTATGGGAAAGCCGACCATTGGTGTCATCTACGTGGGTGTAAAACCTCTCGCTACTGGAAACGTATGATGTACACTGGTGGCAGTGAAAGGGTTGTACTACATGTCAAGGTAGCAAAAAACCACTAGCAAATGGCAGGGGCATTTTTTTTTCCACAGAAAAAACCTAGCCTTCAGAATTCCCATGTTGCTGAAGATTACTGTATACATTCCAGGTTCCTGCAATTAAGCACTTTTATGGACAAGTTTTTGACAAAAGTTTAAGCTCCAATGATTGACATCCAAGAAGCCAGAAGCAAACTTCACACAAATGTCACAACTTCTACTGACAGCGTGAACATGTAGACTTAAAATGCAAGATAGCCCCCACCCCCATCCACAGCCTAGTATTTCACAGTTCACAACTCTATAGGACTCTTTGATAAACCCTAAATAAAAGCCTGGTGAATGTTAAGACACCTAGATAAGGCATGTGCTTGAAAAGGTTTACTTACAGCTCTTGTCTTGGCCACCAAGCATTCATAGCATCTTCAGGCCTGATCTAATTAAAATCAGACAAATGTACTGCTTTCAGAAAGATAAATGATGCTATGCAAAATGTATTCAGACTAATCTTACTATAGACAAGTCACACCATTAGAAAGATAGCATACCAATAACAGCTCACAGGAAGATGTGCACTCATTTAAAAGAAGCTGCTATAGACGCTGAGCAATACGCAAATTAAAAGGTTTAGGCTTTGTTCACACTGATGCAATGGGGGATAGGCACAGGAGTTGCTGCATTTCCCACATTGCACTGTGCTTGTGTCAATTAAAAGTTAGCACCCCATAAGCAGGTTGCACATTTGCCTCAATCGGATCGCATGGGTATGAATAATCTGAATTTTTCATGCGAATGCAGTGCACATGTGATTTGCACAGGAATTCAGTGCGATTCCTCTGAATCACATGCGATGAGCCAGTGTGAACCAGGGCTTAGTGGACACTAATGGTCTAATTGAAAAATTACCAACTTGAATGGAAATTGCTGACTAGAAGTTAGCCTGTAATAAGCAAAAAGGAGAAGCTGAGTGTTTACCAAGGAGTATCAGTTCCTTCACAAGCTTAAACTACATCTGTTACGAGAGAAATGTTTATACTGGCCACCTCCTCAAAATAGTTGCCTGGCTTTAAATACCAACAAACCCCCCCCCCAAAAAAAAAAACAGAAAAAACAAAAATGAAAAAGAAAAAAAAAAAAAAACACAAAAACCTGTGGGTTCAATAATGCAACAGGCATAAGTTAATTTTGATGCTGTGGATGCAAGTACTCCATGATCAAGGGCAGCCCTATAAAAACAGGCTTCTGGCTGCTCTAACAGCTGGAAGTGACTGCTCACTTTCTAGTGGAAGTGATCTGGGTGGCTGTAAAGCCACCAAGATCTCTTCCCTACACGCTGGCAGATGCAGCGCCACCAAAATTGGTATAGCATATCGAAATCATACATGAAAAGCCCAAAAAAAGCACAAATGTCTATGTATTTGCATGTTTGTAATGTTATATTGACTTTAATGAAGAAATTATGGGAGTACTGCATGAAGTATGCATATGATTGTAGATGACTACAGAGTGAAAAAAAAACAAAATCTGTCATTTATCAAGTGTAGGGGTTGAACTAAAGAGAACATGTAACATATGACATACATACAATTGGATGGCACTGTATTTGGAGTGAAATATCACCGACAACACAATAAACCAGACTTGTTTACATTCCAGCACTCAGAGTACATTTAACAAAGTCCCGTATTTGTTGATGATAATGTGGATGAAAGCAGAAGTTCTAGGGCCTTTGTTCACTGACCTGTAAGGGCTTTTAAAGTGTCTCCTATGGACAGTTTTAGGTACTCTAGTTTGTTGCCATTTCACACACAGTTTAAGACTTTGCAAGTTTAGTATATTTACTTGACACAAAATCATTGTTTATTTTTATTTTAGCAAAAATGTTGGCAATGTTAGGTTTGTGTGCAATAAAATTAAAGTGGAAATTCACTAAAACATTGAAATATTTTTAATCCTTATTCTGCTAGCATTCATAAAATATATAGGCAAGGACATCATATTTGTTATACACTTTCATCTCACTTCAGAAGAGCCCCTCATCTAGTGCTCTGGTTGGCTTTGGCCAGCCCCTGCAGCTGCTGTCACATTTAGAATCAATTTTTACAGATGTCCATAGGCCCCCTTAACCACCTCCCGTCCAGCTGTTGTATATAAAAGAGCCAGACGGTGGCAGTGCAGGGTCGAGTGGCCGAGGAGCACGCAGCACCGCGATCCAGTGCCCGCTGTGTCCTCCAGACACAGCAGTGGAAAACCGATCATCGGACGGGACCTCTGTACGAGGTCCCGATCATGTGAGCACTGACTGGCCAATCAGTGATCACATGCAAAGTAGTAAGCAAGATGTCACTTGTGACATTGCTTACTACGTGTGAAATCTGTGAATGATCACAGAGGTCACATGGTACAAGGCTATTCACAACAGCCTTGTACCATGTGACAAACTGTGACCAATCACAGCTCACTCAGTTCTCATTGGCTGCAAGAATGCAGCTAGAGAGGAGAAATGATTGCTTTTACATCCTTTATGGGTGTAAAAGCAATAAGTGTATTAAAAAAAAAAAATCTTCATCACCCCCCACAAGTAGTTCAGTGTCACCATGGTGACACTGTACTGCTAGGGTGACCATATGTTAAAAAAAAAAAAAATATTATAAAATAAAAAAATGTAAAAAAAAAAAAAAAAAGTTTAAAAATAATAAAATTTTGGTTATAAACTAATTTGGGTTATTTTTTTTTACTAAAAATAGAATAAATTTTGGCCAAGATTTATGATGAAATACTATTTATTTGCAAAATTTTATAAGAAAGACTTGTCAAAATTTTTGGACTTTTTAATTTAAATAGCAAAAAAAATAAAAATCCCAGTGGTGAATAAATACCACCAAAATAAAGTTTTAGCTGTCTCAAAAAAATTCATATGGGTACAGTGTTGCATGACCACGCAATTGTCATTCAAAGTGTGATAGCGCTGAAAATTGGCCTGGACAGGAAGGGGGTAAAAGTGTCTGGACTGGAAATGATTAACACTGCCAAGTACCCATTAATTAGTGGCATTTAATTGCAAAGGACCAGTGGCCAATTATAGCAATGTAGGTCTCAGCCAATTGAATCACAGAATCTGTAAAACATGGATTTATCAGTAAAGAGAAGAATTTGCAGTCTTGGACCAAAAGTGAAACACAAATGAAGCGCCTTTAATAGGGTCCCAAGACCAAAATTCTAAAAAAACCAAAAAAACTTGTCAGCAGAAACTAGAAAAAAGTAAACATTTTTGTAAATTTGCTTTATTTATCTGAATAAAGTTTTGTAAAGTCTTTGTTTTCTTTAAATATTTTTGTAACTGTAAATATTACTATACATTTTCTTACATCACACATTGTAGCCCTGATGAGGGGACAACCGAGGACAAAGGGCTGCCTAGATCAGTCCAGTTTGTCCCAATCATTAAAACGTAGAATTTAACAGGGGGTCTGGGCTGCCAGCAGCACTGCTGGAAAAGCATGGTGGTTTTGACAGGCTATCCAACTAAAATTTACATAAAAAAGAAAAAAAAAAAAAAAAAAAGTGGCAATTATCAAGGACACCAAAACGGATACACATGTATACTTACAGTTTCACTGCCAGGTTTCCAACCAGCGGGGCAAACTATATGGAGAGGGGAAAAAAAAAAAAAAAAAAAAAAAAAGTTAAAAAAAAATTAAAAAACCCTTTGATCAAATTTTAGTGGTCTTTATAAATTTAACCACTTGAGCCCCAGAGGATTTACCCCCCTTAATGACCAGGCCTTTTTTTTGCTGTTTGGCGCTGCACTAATTCAAATGATAATTGCGTGGTCATGCAATGCTGTACCCAAACGAAATTTACGTCCTTTTTTTCACACAAATAGAGCTTTCTTTTGGTGGTATTTGATCACCTGTGCGCTTTTTATTTTTTGCGCTATAAACAAAAAAAACACAAAAATTTTGAAAAAAAACAATATTTTCTACTTTTAGCTATAAAAAAATATATCGTAAACTCAAAGTTAGTCATAAATTTAAGCCAAAATGTATTTTGCTACATGTTTTTGGTAAAAAAAAAAATCCCAATAAGTGTATATTGATTGCTTTGTGTGAAAGTTATAGCGTCTACAAACTATGGTATAGATACTGTAATTTATGCCTTTTTTTGCTATACAGCGCTGCACTAACTCAAATGATAATTGCGCGGTCATGCAATGCTGCACCCAAACGAAAATTACGTCCTTTTTTTCACACAAATAGAGCTTTCTTTTGGTGGTATTTGATCACCTGTGCGCTTTTTATTTTTTGCGCTATAAACAAAAAAAAAACCACAAAAATTTTGAAAAAAAACAATATTTCTACTTTCAGCTATAAAAAAATATATCGTAAACTCAAAGTTAGTCATAAATTTAAGCCAAAATGTATTCTGCTACATGTTTTTGGTAAAAAAAATCCCTGTGCATTAGCGGGCAAACTGGCGCTATCTAGGAGGGGGGCGCTAACACTATCGGAAGTCACCAGTGACACTAATACAGTGATCAGTAAAAATCTGTTCACTGTAATCAATGACACTGGTGACAAGGCAGTGAAGGGGTTAACTGGGGGGGGGGGGGGGGGGGGGAGGGGGGGCGATCAAGGGGTTAAATGGGATTTCTGGTGCACTAGTGGGCAAACTGGCGCTATCTGGGAGGGGCGCTAACACTATCGGAAGTCGCCAGCGACACTGATACAGTGATCAGTAAAAATTGGTTCACTTATCAGTGACACTGGTGACAGGGCAGTGAATGGGTTTAACTGGGGGGGGAAGATTAAGGGGTTAAATGGGATTACTGGTGTACTAGCGGGCAATCTGGCGCTATCTGGGAGGGGCACTAACACTATCGGAAGTCGCCAGCGACACTGATGCAGTGATCAGTAAAAATTGGTTCACTTATCAGTGACACTGGTGACAGGGCAGTGAAGGGGTTAACTGGGGGGCGATCAAGGGGTTAAACGGGATTACTGGTGTACTGCCGGGCAAACTGGCGCTATCTGGGAGGGGCGCTAACTCTATCGGAAGTCGCCAGCGACACTGATACAGTGATCAGTAAAAATTGGTTCACTGATCAGTGACACTGGTGACAGGGCAGTGAAGGGGTTAACTGGGGGGGGGCGATCAAGGGGTTTTTAAACGGGATTACTGGTGTACTGGTGGGCAAACTGGCGCTATCTGGGAGGGGCGCTAACTCTATCGGAAGTTGCCAGCGACACTGATCAGTAAAAATCGCTTCACTGATCAGTGACACTGGTGACAGGGCAGTGAAGGGTTAACTGGGGGGGAGGGGGGGGGCGATCAGAGGGTTAAATGTGTCCTAGAGTGTTCTAACTGTAGTGTAGTGCTTGTGTACTCACTTTTTGGATGTCGTCTTCTCTGTTGGAACGGAATGTGTCCAGGCAGAGAAGAATGACATCATATCCTGCCCTGTGTGTATGTCAACACAGGACAGGATAGGACAGGGACCGATCATGTGATTTCAGCCAGAAATCACTGGCTGAAATCTAATGATTGATCCCTCCTGGATCAAATCGTGTCACCCGCGGGTCGGCGGGAGCGTGTGCGCCCCCTGCCGGCGAAAGTGTCGGGTGCGCGGAACCCGTTTTTAAACGTGGTTTTGCGCTCCACTGCCGCCCTGCACACGTATATACACAGTGGCAGGGCGGCAAGCGGTTAATAAAAGCACATAGCCAATTTGAAAAGCCTCAAAATATTTAAAAACGGTTTTAAAGTTTAAAAAGGTTTTTAAACCAAAAGGTGAACTTCTTGTATGTGTTTTTTTTTGGTCTGGTAAATGTACCATTGAAAGAATATGCTCAATAAATGTAAAAAAAAAAAAAAAAGTCAATTACAGAAGTCTTAAAGCGATACTAAACCTAAAATCGGTTACCTTGCAATAAGGTAAAAAAGGTTTCAGTTCCTCTGTCTTCCCCTCTTTCCTGTGTGAAGGAGAGGAGGGGATAAGAGATCCAGCTCTACACAGCTAGATCTCTTCTCTTCCACTGGCTCCTGCCAAATACAGTGAAGTAGGGGCGAGCCAGCTGGGTAAGTTATGGCGTGTCTCCACAGACACTCCCACTCGGGAGCGAGCGGACAGTGTGCTCCCCCCCCCCATAGCAGTAGTTTGCTACAGGGACATGAAGAAAGGAGCTGCCAAGACCGCTGGTGGGGACCCAAGAGCAGGATCGGGGCCACTCTGCAATATCACTGCACAGAGCAGGTCAAAAAAAAAAAAAAAAAACCCACACAACTAGACTTTAGTAACAATTTAATAGCTGATAATTTCCTGAGCTCTCTGCCCCTGTTGAATGTCATCAGTTAACAGAGATCTAAGTTATGTTTATACTAAAGAACAACCCCTTTCTTTCCATTTTACTAAAATTTTATTTTTTTGAGAAGTAGAATAGGGTCTTTGCGTAAACTACACTGCTTCATCAGTATGACGGGTGGGCATTGTCATCCTAGGACAGGAGGTGTTACTGGCAGGATATCAAGGTGAATAAAAGAAAGAAAGCCTGAAGAAAACAAAGCAGCCACCACATCTAAGCAATAGTTTATTAAAGAGAATCTAAACCTAAAAATATTTTAACTGAGGACCTACAGTACAGCAAGGAATTTACAAAAGGACTAATATGCAAGCCTTTCCACTGTACTATTTCACTAATTTAGTGTATTGGTCAAAGAAACAGAAAACCAAAATTAAGGAATTATATTCCCCTTCTACCCAGTGCTGTGGTCTCCCAGAGTTCCCTACTGTTATCTTTAGCCAGACCATCTTCCACGTACCAATCTTCAGGCATTTTCATTGGCCTGGCTGAGAAGACATCTCTCCTGCCCACGTAAGGAGCTCATTCATCTTGGCATTGCTGAAATCTGTACACCTACCCAGTGTACAGGGTATCTAGACAGGTAATAGAATTTTCATGCAGGAGACATCAGTCTCTTCTGTATTAAAACCCTGCCCACTTGCCTTTTTTCAACCCCTCATGCAAAGTTGCACTTTAATGAGCTAACGTAGCTGAGCTCTCTTGCTCTGAAGAGTTTCAAAAGTTGTGCCAATTTTAAAATTGGAGATTGGCTGGTTTCCCTGTTGGATGTGAGTAATGTTGGGCTTCTGGTTAATTGCTCAATCTATGTAATCCAGACATCCAGGAATTTCCTAAGGTTCCTCAAACCTCATTTAACTAAATATACAAACATTTCAAAATCCATGTCGGACCCACACTCGTTCCAATCTTTTAAGAGTATGTCCAAATCAAACATTTTTCCCCAGAGTGTAAATCACATTCTTGCTTGAACACACACTAAGTTGGTATCTGGCCATCACTCACCTTCCCCATGTTTGTCTGTGTACTGGAATGCTTGTACAAGACGAAGGGTCTCATCTACAGATCGCCCAACAGGAAGATCATTCATGGTAATCTGTCGGAGGACTCCTTTGTCATCTATGATGAAGAGCCCTCTAACAAAATTAAAAAACAAAAACATTCAAAGTAACTTCACAAGAACAGAAAAAAAAAAAACCCCACACGACCAACCCTTGCTAGCTGTTGCAAACCTGTCATTGGAGACACCTAAGCCTGCTGATCTTCGGAAAGAACTGCTTAGCCATCATACTGGCATCAATGCTTTATGTCTGATATGAACAAGTATGCAGATAAAGAATTCCGACTTAAATTTGCAGCATACTTCTAGATTAAATTGTTCCACTCAAAGTAATTTTTGTGGGGGCAAAAAACCTGTTTCTGAAAAGTTTTTGCTTTTTTATTATGGTGCTGATGGCACACCCTGATATGGTCAAGTGCCTGGTCGCCAGCTGCACCCACTGATTCAATGCAATTACCCCTACATCACCACTGTGTGGTGCTGAAGGGATGAAGCACAGAATATAGCAGAGGACCAGGAATCCAGCCTTGATGTTTTGGCTTCTAAAGAATCTTAAGGATAAGTTCACCTTTTCTAACATGTTCAGCTGCCCCCATGTATGAGCACAGATATACAGACAGATGCACAGAAGTCCTGCATGGCACCCTCGATTAGATCACCTTCTAGGCTCCTAGTAGAAAAAAATAAATGCACATTTTTGTACCTACAAAAATTAGCATTTTTTTTTTTTTTAAACCACAAAAAAAAAAAAAAAAAAAAAAAAAGGTGAACTTTATATAACCAATAGCATGGGTGGGACTTTCATTTTAGCAGCAGTCACTTTAAAAAGCCACTTCTGAGAGTTATCATTTTTTGATGGTTACCTCATTAGCACTACATTCATTTAAGTCGTTCAATCTTTCAGTGGCTAAAAGTTAAGGGTTTGTGTCGACATGCAGGGTTATGCATTCCCATGCAAATCTTTGGGAATGCAAATCCAGCTTGAATGTAGGTCAGGAAGTCAACTGCAGGTAAAAAAGGCATTTAGTAATTAATTCTGACTGATTCAGAAGCATCTCAAAATGCTAACACAAGCCCAAAGCATGTTGACAGCCTGGAGCCCCAAGGTCACCTTTATAGCTCAACCCTAAAAAGCCCTTCTGAGATCCCAGCCAATATTACGATGACTAGATTACCCATAGGTCTTTACATGTCAGGAGTTTCCTATTCCTTAACTTCCCTAAAGAAATATCAAATGAGTGTAAAGCATATCTGAAATACAACCAGATGGTACCAGTTTGATTTAAAAAAAGACAGGGCCCGTTCACACTGTGTGGTGACTAGAGTTTTCCACACTGGATAAAATGTAGATCATTACTGTGGGAAATCAACCTTAATACTTCGTTTCCCCTATTTGTCTTTTGCTATAGTTACTTCACTATGCCCATGAATTGTGTATCTACAAACCTTAGCGTGTGACCTTGGTCCTCCAGGTATACACCATAATCCTTTGAGATCTGGTGAGTTAGGTCAGAAAGCAGAGGAATTTTCATTGGACCAAGTCCTCCTTGCTTTCGAGGTGTATTTATCCTATTAAAAAAAAAAGGGACAAAGCGAAAAAAAGACCGTTACTACACCTTGCCACAAAAGGCAGAGATGCAAACACAAATGTCAATATGAAAAGGCTTATGGTGGTAATCAGTCTGCACCAGGGGCGGACTGACAACTCGTGGGGCCCCCCGGGCAATAGAGGATCATGGGGCCCGTGTCCTTGCCCAAACTCAAAAAAGCCTATGAAAAAAAAAAAAAAAAAAAAAAAAAAAAAAAAAAAAAGAAGGGTACCAGGGGCATCTCATGGGGTCCCCTGCTGACCCCGGGCTCTCGGGCAGTGCCCGAGTTTCCAAATGGTCAGTCCGCCCCTGGTCTGCACTGAAATGTAAAGGTGCTGCAGTCTACCTAAGGGAACATCATTATACTGTATACACACACAGCAGGGTAAAAGTAGTAACACGTCCCCACTGATATACAACTTTGTATTTCCTTGGTGGGGGGCACGTGCAGTGTAAATCCTCTGGAGGAAAAGTGGTGCAGTAACCTAAGGGACCCCACATTCACATATATACAGTACTCAGAACACAATTATTTTAGTAAATAAACTGTGCAATCTTATGATTTGTGTTCAGCAAAGCACTGGTCAAAGCTTGTAGGAGGAGTTTTCTGCTCTAGGATGCAAAACCCCTGACCTGTGCCTGGACAGAGCTGATTGCCTTTGTACTGATCACATGCACTCTTCCAAGAAAAAAAAAAACCTAGCAATACACACTAAACTGAGTATGCGCAGAATGGCTACGATTCAGTGTGTCTTATCAGGAAATAAGACAGACATTTGAATAAGAGGAGCAGAAAAGTTAGGATCAAATGGCTATTTTACAAAATGTAGAGGATTAACCCCTTAGGTGCCACAGTGAGTATAACCAGCATGCTTTACTGCATATACAGACTGATCTTCCTGTTGTGGGTTTAGTAACAGCCAAGACACCAGATGAAATCTCAGTAATTGGAAAGCAATCCTGCCCCGTATCAGTGCAAATTAATATCAGCTGTTTCAGTCTCAACTGGTTGACTAAAAGGTATTTAGTTACCAAGGTGTTACACAAGAAACATCTCACAATGGGTAAAAGCAAAGAGCTCTCAAGACCTGCAAAGGTCTTGAGGCATTTGTTACAGAAATACTAAGAGAATATAGTCTGGTCAGACCAAAATTGAATTCTTTGGATGCCATAATACACACCACGTTTGACGTTCAAAAGGCACTGCACATCACCCCAAAAAACGCCATACCAACAGTGAAGCTTGAAGGTGGGAACATCATGGTGTGGGGCTGTTTCTCAACATACAGTACTGGCAAATTTCATATTGTTGGATGGATGAATGCAAAAATGTACCCAGACATTGCTAAAATTCTGCCGCCATCTACCATGAAGATGAAACAAGTGGACAGTCCAGCAAGACAATGATACCAAAAAACAAAGCCAAGGAAACTCAAATGGTTTCAAAGAAAGAAAAAGCTGCTAGAATGGACCAGCCAATCACCTGACTTGAATCCAATAGAAATCTATGGAAAGAACTAAAGATCAGAGTTCATAGAAGAGGCACATGGAACCTTTAAGATTTGAAAACAGTGTGGAAGAAAGGGTAAAATCACACCTGGGCAATGCATAGGACTAGTTTCTCCATACAGGCGGAGTCTTGAAGCTGTCAAAGGATTTTGTACGAAGTATTACATTTCAGTTAGCCTGTTCAATATTTTCCATGTCATTACACAACCTAATTTCTGAACTTGTTTTGTTTTCTTTGTATGGATGGATTGCATTGGTTATAACCAACATGTGGTGAAAATTGCATGACAATAGCACCTTTAGAAAACTATTCACCTAGAAAAATGGTGACAAGTTCATTACTTATTTTAATCTATCCATCCATCTACACATACATACCGCTTCCTATCTTTTTGTCATGAGGGAACTGGAAAGACCACCATTACATGCTACTCTTAAAAAGCTAAATTTATAGCCGTTACTTGTTTTGATTAAGACCTCTTTCACATGAACGTTCTAATCTGATCCGCCTGCCCATTTATCAGGGGGGCCCGATTAGAACCTCCATTCTCCTATGGACAATGGATGGTGTCCTGGGGTATTTCTTCCCAGATCTGGACCACGGCACCACTGAGCTCCTGAACAGTCTGACGTGCAACCTGGTAGCATCAGATGGATCAAGAGATCCCAGAGGTGTTCTATTGGATTTAGGTCAGGTAAGCGTGGGGGCCATTCAATGGTATCAATTCCTTCATTCTCCAGGAACTGCCTGCATACTCTCACCACGAGGCCAGGCATTGTCGTGTACCAGGAGGAACCCAAGACCCACTGCACCAGCGTAGGGTTTGACAATGGGTCCAAGGATTTCACCCTGATACCTAATGACTGTCAGGGTGCCATTGTCTAGCCTGTAGAGGTCTGTGTACCTTCATGGATATGCCTCCCCAGACCATTACTGACCCACCAGCAAACCAGTCATGCTGCACTATGTTCCAGGAAGCATAATGTTCTCCACGGCTTCTCCAGACCCTTTCACGTCTGTCACATTCTTGACTGTGCTGGGAGACCACAAACCTTCTGGCAATGGCACGTATTGATGTGCCATCCTGTAGGAGTTTGGCTGCCTGTGCAACCTCTGTAGGGTCCAGGTGTCGCCTCATGCTACCAGTAGTGACACTGACCCTAGCCAAATGCAAAACTAGTGAAAAAAAAGTCAGAAAAGAGTAGGGGAAAAAAATGTCAGTGGCCTCTACCCGTAAAACCCCCCCTGTTTTGGGGGTAGTCTCATTGTTGCCCATCTAGTGCACCCGTTAATTTCATTAACACCAAAGCAGCTGAAGCTATTTAACAACCCCCCTCCGCTACTTAACTGGCCAGATCAATATCCCAGGAGTTTGACGATGTTATACTACGATTAAAAAAAAAAGTGTTCCTTTGATTTGAGATGTATATGGGGGTAACCATTTACATGGTACACATGCAGGCTTAGCTTCCTTGTTTTGGCTTGCAAATCCTCCACCCACCTATCTAGACTTTAAACAAGGTACAGACCATGCCAAGTGCGTGAATTGAGAGTCCACCGAACAAGCTACAACTTCAGTATTTATTGATCTGAATTCTTCTATGCGGTCACCAAAAGCAATTATTTCCGTTGGACAGACGAATGTGCTGCATAAATAAAAAGGGGGGAAAAATATATATTATATGTTAGAACAAAGCAATAGCCAATACTAACTTCAGAAGGTTAAACCAGTTACCAATTATAATGCATAGTTTGTGGCTGTGGGAAACTGAAAATCTCAGCTAGCGCCTCCCCCACCCCCCCTTCTAGTCTTCAGGACTCCAGAGCAGTTTGTATTTCTGAGTCCCGAGTTCGACAAGGTTATAGTTTGCCAAGACCACCTGGTGTCCTGGCAACCGATTACTTGCTTGCCAAGGGCTCAGGTCTAGTGGAGGAAGTTAATCATCCTCCCCTGAATGCTGTCTACTAGGAGTTGAAGGGTACCCAGGACACTGATGCAAGAGGAAAGGGAGGGGGTCTCCCTGAATGCTGCATTCTATAGATTACTACCCCTGCACTCTATACATGTTTATACATTACCTTACACACTCCTGACCAAGGTCCAACAGTTGCTGGCATTAATTCTTTAACCAGTTCCCGTCCAGCCCATGTATATAAACAGCCAGACGGGAGCAGTGCAGGGGCGGGTGGCCGTTTATAAATGGGCCGCTTTCTTGTTCTACCGACATTGTTCCCTATCCTACTGGCACCCACTCCTTGGACCATACATCAGATCTGGATTCCCCAGCTGTGTATTGTGTCTTTTTTGTATTAGAATTCAAATTTTTTTTTTCCCATTGACAAGCAGTTTAAAAAAATTCACACCTTGGAGAATTGTTTACATAATGTTTATACTGTTTAAAGCAATTCCTTTCAGTGGGGCTGCATCCACATTATGATAATAGCTTGTTCTGTCTAGTGGAGATTAGAAAAATTTCCTTAACCAATCCTCCATACTACTCCAGCAGAAGACACTCCCATGCTCTGGTGGTGGACTGTCCCTTGACATCATCATGTCCAATACAGGGCATTGGTCCTAATGACATCAGGACCCTTCCCTGTTATGAAGGCATGCCAATCTACCTTAATGTAAAATGGTAAAGCAAATCCTCCCGATATCAGCAATGCTACCTGGTCTGTCCATTGGCTGGGAAGACAGAGCCTGCAGTGTTAAGCACCCCCTGGGAGTGGCAACCCAGTGATGCTACAAGTATCAGTGCAGGACCCCATTGTGAGAAAGGGCACCCAACCACTGCACCACAGCGTTTCTCAACACCTCACTAGCTAGGCCTTTTTGCTGAGACCGGGTTTTTTTTTTTTTTTTTGTTTTGTTTTTTTTAAAAACAGGCTGCAGGGCCTAACCACTGTCTAACATGCTATTTTTCTCCATGTGCCTGTTGCTTTTTTGTGCATCACCTTTTCACTCAGCATTGTAGGGTGTAAGGTATTCAGGTCTACCATGAAATCTAGGGCGCAGGATTAGTGGCCATCAGGTTCCTTTCTCGTCTTCAGGAGAGCTTCCCACCCAGTACTTGTTGCCTTGCTTCAGCTGATCATGAGGAGCAAGGTCCAAAGGGACATTTGCTAGGTGGATTCAAGTGCACCTTACCCACTATTCAGGAGTCTGACCCGGAGGGTCAGGGAGGGTCCTCTCCTTCTCAGGAGGGGGACCATTTGGCACACCCTTGTGCACCTTTGTGTGTTCACATGCACTTTTCTGGTTCACTTTGGGGGTTTTGTATTTGCACACCATACTGCAGGCATGGAGATATATTTTTTTTAAATATATTTGGTTTTATTACCTGGGACTTAAGGCAAAAACAGGCCTGTCACACCTGCCCACCAACAACTGATTAGCAAAAAACCCAAAAAGGATTTGGACACCTAAAGGGAGATTTACTAAGGCTGGCCATACACTATACAATTTTCTGTCCAATTTTCTTTAGATTTACCTTCAACTATGTAGTACAAGAGCCTGCCTAATTGGATACAATTGAAAGTGTTGTTTAGGTTTGACCTCCTATTACATGGTTTTTGGTAAATCTAAACCAAAAATCTCAGGAAAATTGTATAATGTATGGCCAGCCTAAAACTGGTGCACTCAGAAGATTCTGGGGCAGCTGTGCATGGTATGCAATCAGCTACTAACTTCAGATTGTTCATTTAAACTTTGGCAAAAAAAAAAAAAGCTGGAAACGGATTGCAAAATCTGGTGCAGCTCTGCATAGAAAACTCTCCAATTTTAGTAAATAACTTAATACACATGTAGATAGCCCATATCATGACTATATTCCGGACCCATATGCGTTACTATGAATGTAATGTTTACAGGCAAATGCTTGCTACAGTTTTCTTGTACAATATACAAAATAAAGAATATAAAAAAAATATGAACATATGTGGACTGCACGTGAAGATATACTTACAAGTCCAGAGGGTAGAAGAAGAAGACCAAGTATTTTCCTTTGTAATCTGTGAGCTTCAACTCTTTAAATTCTCCATTTATCACAGCTGTTCCTTCCCAGTATGGAGCAGGCTTGGAAACTGGATTAAAGAGAAACAAACATTCTTTATGAAGGGCAGGTTCCAGATTTTCCCATACTTCATTAAAATACAGATCATAAACTGGTTTAACAGCTTACTCTGATTGGCTGAGTCAAAGGTGGGCTGATGACAATTCTCGATTCAGCCACAGGAAGCTTTGTATTCATTGGTAGAACACACAATCGCTTTCTATGATTGGCTGAGCGCCGTTCAGACCATTGTGTTGTGTTCCAGGTCTGAGCCAGGAAGTTCTCAACTCGCACCCAAAACACAGTGCTCTATGCAGCCTCCACTACAGTTTATACAGCACATCCAACAGCCTCATGTTAGTGAGGAACCTAGTTCGTTTGGGCCAGCTTGGTCAAAATGAATGATGTAGTGTGCCAAAAGCTGGATTTCAACTTTAAAAAAAGCAAGACCTTTTTTTTTTTTAGTAATTTTGAATGACATTTGTCACATCATTGAATGTACTGATGAGAATCATCTAAGTGTATTGCCAGCATTAGAGTCCATTTGTCTCAGCACTTATAGATTTATACATCACCAACAGTTTGCACAGTAAAAAAAATATAACATTTTTATATATACTTAGTGACAGCTCACATATGTACACACTATCAGCACTGTGACATTGTGGAGCAAACTACATTTTAAAGTTTACCAACAAGTCAACATGAAGAAAAAAATTCCAATTTTCCCCGACGTCTGCACGATGACAATGCATGCTGGAAGGCAAAAATTATTAGAATAGTAGTTCAGTTACAGCAGAAAGAATTCAAAGAACTTCTCCTAGGGCTAACCGCTTCATCATACGTGTCCTTCATGCCAAGATAAAACAAACGAAAGAAACCACCATGTCCATAAACCCTCACTTTAATCACTTCAGTAAATTAGCTTAGGAAAAAAAAAAAAAAAAAATGTATAGTATAGCCATTTTAGATATACTGTACAAAAAAAAAAAAAAAAAAAATTTAATTTTTCCCAAAAACAATTTGATTGAGAAAAGAAGCACAATGATAACATGTACAGGTTACATTCTGTTCATGGATAGTATCAAATACAAGTGTCCCCTGTCGGAAAACTTAAAGCCAGACATGTCCAGCTGGCATTTTCACGGCTACATGTGGCCTTCATTCTCCATTTTCTGCAACCCTAAGTGGTTTAAGCCAGTGTTTCTCAACCAGGGTGCTGTAGCATCCTGGGGTGCCATCTGGGTTCCCAGAAGACAGGACTTGGTTTTCCCTGGATCAGGGTCATGAGTTGCCAACACGGGCAGACTGGATGTCAGCACCACAACCATTGATACTCAAGGACCCCAACACGACTAATCTGGGGCTGGCAGCGTGCAGGGCTGCACCTAGCATTCAAAAGACAGAAGACTACCTCCCTTCAGACCTCCTCCACATACTGCCCTCTGCAGTGCTTCTGGAGTCAAAAGAAACGGCACTGATGTGAAGTGCAACTGATATGAGGGAACTTTCCACTTTAGACTGGGGTGCCTCAAAATTCTGCATACTTTTACAAGGTGCCAAAACTGAAGAATTGCCTGTGTAAGAATCAGCAGATTATTGCTGTTAAGAGTAACATGTGAACATTAACAGCTGCAGCCAGAAAGCCTGTAAAAAAACAATAACATGGGTTTTCACATGTAGCCACATCCAGTTGTTACCTGTTAGGGACAAATGTCTGACCCTGGACACAATCTGAGTATGTGGCTGCTAGTTCCTAACTGCAGGATATGCAAATACACACATTGAAGCAATGGGAATCTGCTCACCTGCCTTTGGCATGCATTTTAAACAAGGGAAAACAAGTCATCTTTGCAAGTCCCGAGACTGTAGCAAACAAAATGGGGTGGGGGGGGGGATTAAAATTGGTAAGTATAAGAGCTCATTCACAACATGTTGGGTCTCCATTGATCAGTTATGGGGCTTGGGCTCTTTAATATATACATTTGTAAAGAAAAAAAAAGTTACTTAACAATACCTCCATACCTAGCGTCCCTGCAGCATGTGCTTCCAGCATAACCTGGACGCAAAATGTTGCCACCGGTACTACCACTGACAGAATACCTGGCACCCCACCTGGGTGCTTCCATCAAAGGACGGCTTCCTCAACACCGGGACACAAAAGGTATTATAGCTGGGCACTGCACCCAAGAACTAAGCACTAGCTTAGGTGCAATCGGAACTCTCCTTACCATTGATTCACACAACTTATACCACACAGAATCAGGTATGAGCTTGATCACATTATCCTAAACAATGCAAACCTTTAACAGTAATATCAGTACATCCAATGCACAGCTAACAGCAAGGTAATCAACAGCCAGACACCCAAGAGCTCATGCTAGACAGCAAGCCCACACCCCTGGATATACAAAGTACACAACACACGCTGTCTTTCAGGTGTTTGCTTTTCCTTTGTATGATCTGTCCACTGGAAAAGTCGTCGCAAGATTAAACTCATACAATGTTCCAGCAGTCTGACAAAAAGGAAATAATTTATCTTTATAGGATTTCTTGAGGGAGACTGGTGATACATATGTATATCCCAAGTGGAGCTTACCGAGCTCAGTCTGCAAGAGGGCCACTATATTTCCTCTGACCATTAACCTGTACAACCTGTGTAACTTAATATTACACATTTCCATCCAATCCAGAAGGAAAGCTTTATTGCCTTTATTCAGAGAATTAATCCAAGCCATTCACAGCGTTCATCACATTTTCATCCATCAGACTGATCCGCTCTCTACATGTGATCATAAACTGAACCAAGCTTTTTTCCATATTCTGACAGGGAAAAGCAGACAAAATGCTTGGTCTCCTTCATGGGCCATAATCAGTGGGTGCAAGGTTAGCCTTTAGTTCCCTCCAAAAGCCCTTGCCCCAGTTGGGTCTGTCACAACCACCTATAGGTTGGCCATGCTTCAAAACAGGGTATCCCTGAAGCCACTGCAATGCACATGCGCCCAGCCAGGACCACATAGCTTTGGAAGTAGGGACAGCTAAGACTATTAGACTGGGCATGCATGGGCATTATGAGCACACAGGAGACCACCTGTATGTATGCATTACAGTGGACACATGAACAGTATGGGGGCGGGGGGGGTGATGAGGTAAGAGGCCATCTTATTGTATTACAGTGGGAACACGTGCAGTATGGACAGGGAGCAAGGATGCAGGAGGCCACCAGACTATTACAGCAGGCACAGATGCACAGGGCCAGGGAGGACAAAGCAAGTCACCTATTTAAGTGAACTTGTGCAATATGGGTCTGGAAATGAGGATGCAGCAAGCCACCCATGTGACAGCAGGCACACATGCTGTATGGCTTGAAAAGGATGCAGACCAAATAGTATTACAGTGGGCACACGTGCTGTATGGACTGGGAGCAAGGACACAGGAGGCCCAACGAATAGTATTGCAGTGAGTACACGTGCTGTATGGGCTGGGAGCAAGAACGCAGGAGGCCACCCAATAGTATTACAGTGGGCACACGTGCTGTATGGACTGGGAGCAAGGACACAGGAGGCCCAACGAATAGTATTGCAGTGAGTACACGTGCTGTATGGGCTGGGAGCAAGGACGCAGGAGGCCACCCAATTGTATTACAGTGGGCACACGTGCTGTATGGACTGGGAGCAAGAACGCAGGAGGCCACCCAATAGTATTACAGTGGGCACACGTGCTGTATGGACTGGGAGCAAGAACGCAGGAGGCCACCCAATAGTATTACAGTGGGCACACGTGCTGTATGGACTGGGAGCAAGGACGCAGGAGGCCCATTGAATAGTATTGCAGTGAGTACACGTGCTGTATGGGCTGGGAGCAAGGACGCAGGAGGCCCAACGAAAAGTATTGCAGTGAGTACACGTGCTGTATGGGCTGGGAGCAAGGACGCAGGAGGCCACCCAATAGTATTACAGTGGGCACACGTGCTGTATGGGCTGGGAGCAAGGACGCAGGAGGCCACCCAATAGTATTACAGTGGGCACACGTGCTGTATGGACTGGGAGCAAGGATGCAGGAGGTCACCCAATAGTATTACAGTGGGCACACGTGCTGTATGGACTGGGAGCAAGGACGCAGAAGGCCACCCAATAGTATTACAGTGGGCACACGTGCTGTATGGGCTGGGAGCAAGGACACAGGAGGCCCAACGAATAGTAGTGCAGTGAGTACACGTGGTATGGGCTGGGAGCAAGAACGCAGGAGGCCACCCAATAGTATTACAGTGGGCACACTTGCTGTATGGCTGGGAGCAAGGATGCAGGAGGTCACCCAATAGTATTACAGTGGGCACACGTGCTGTATGGGCTGGGAGCAAGGACACAGGAGGCCCAACGAACAGTATTGCAGTGAGTACACGTGCTGTATGGGCTGGGAGCAAGAACGCAGGAGGCCACCCAATAGTATTACAGTGGGCACACGTGCTGTATGGACTGGGAGCAAGCAGGAGGCCCAACGAATAGTATTGCAGTGAGTACACGTGCTGTATGGGCTGGGAGCAAGGACGCAGGAGGACACCCAATAGTATTACAGTGGGCACACGTGCTGTATGGGCTGGGAGCAAGGACGCAGGAGGCCACCCAATAGGATTACAGAGGGCACACGTGCTGTATGGACTGGGAGCAAGGACGCAGGAGGCCACCCAATAGTATTACAGAGGGCACACGTGCTGTATGGACGGGGAGCAAGGACGCAGGAGGCCACCCAATAGTATTACAGAGGGCACACGTGCTGTATGGACTGGGAGCAAGGACGCAGGAGGCCACCCAATAGGATTACAGAGGGCACACGTGCTGTATGGACTGGGAGCAAGGACGCAGGAGGCCACCCAATAGTATTACAGAGGGCACACGTGCTGTATGGACTGGGAGCAAGGACGCAGGAGGCCACCCAATAGTATTACAGAGGGCACACGTGCTGTATGGACTGGGAGCAAGGACGCAGGAGGCCACCCAATAGTATTACAGAGGGCACACGTGCTGTATGGACTGGGAGCAAGGACGCAGGAGGCCACCCAATAGTATTACAGAGGGCACACGTGCTGTATGGGACTGGGAGCAAGGACGCAGGAGGCCACCCAATAGTATTACAGAGGGCACACGTGCTGTATGGACTGGGAGCAAGGACGCAGGAGGCCACCCAATAGGATTACAGAGGGCACACGTGCTGTATGGACTGGGAGCAAGGACGCAGGAGGCCACCCAATAGTATTACAGAGGGCACACGTGCTGTATGGGCTGGGTGCAAGGATGCAGCGAGCCGCCACCTGACTGCATTACAGTGGATACAATATGGGCTGGAAGTGAGGAATCTAGAGACATGCAGTCCAAAAACAAGTCGTCACTTGATGGAACAGCGGGCACTCAAGAAGATTAGGGTTGACTGTACATATTTTGGAGTGGGTACATTTTTGCTTTATACATTAGTGATTTAAGGACAACTCCCCCTTTCCTGAGACTTCCAAGTACATGCATATTTAGGGATCTCCCCCACTTACCAGGCATTAATCTTGAAGCATCATTTCACGGTTTGAAATGTGGTGCAGTTGTACATGGCTCCACCCACAGAGCTGTCTCATCCATTCACAGAGATGGGTAACTGGAAAAACTACAAGTCCCATCTACCACACAGGGTCTAACGGATGTCAATAGAGCACAAGCACAGTGATGTTACCATGCTGGTAGTCCATGCATTTCCTCCTCCTGCCCTGTAAGCCTGTGTACAGCTGGAGATACAGTCTGCTGGAGGCTAAGCATGGCACCTGCTGATCACTGTTGCAATGAAAAAAAAAAAAAAAGTCACAGTACTAGGGTCATTGGTTCGAATCCCAACCACTGCACCACCTGACTTAACATGTTCTCCCTGTGCCTGTGTGGGTTTCCTCCAGGTACTCTGGTTTCCTCCCACACTCCACAGACATGCTGGTAGGTGAATTGGCTCCTGTCTAACTTGGTCCTAGTATGTGTATGTATGAATGTGAGTTAGGGACCTTAGATTGTACACCCCTTGAGGGTCAGGGACTGGGTTAGCACTGCATCCATTGATGGCGCTATACAAGTACCTGTAATAAACAATGATGGGTGTAATTAATGTATCAGTGATGAATGGCTCCAATATCACTATCAACATCACACACCAAAGTCTTCCTGACATATCTAGACGTCCAGAGGTCCCCCAGTCCATGTGACAGTACAGGCTCCGCCCTCTGTAGAGAGAAGAGCGGAGGATGACAGATGTTCGGGACTGAACGTCTCCACCAATCGGAGACACCCAGCACAGCACTGGGGGGGGGGGGAGGGGTACCGCGGCCCGACGCTCTGCGGGAGGTTCCCCGCCCAGGCTATGGAGGTCACACTCACTTTTTTCGCCTTGCTCAGGTGCAGGGAGTGGTCGGACACGGGCACACGGGTGGCCTCCCCAGGGTATACCTGCCCCCCCGGCGTAGAAGTGACACTCTCCGTCCTGGTGAGCCCGGCCGGTCCGGGGCTGCTCCTTGTCTTCAGCACCATGACACGTGACAGTGGCCGTATTGAAGAGGAAGACGAGTAGGAGAGCGGGGGGGGCACGACACCGGACCTCCATCCTCCTGTACGGCGGGAGAAAAGACACGTACAGCCTGAGAGGAGGGGGAGGAGCGGAGGACATCAGTCAGGGGGCGGGGCACGGGTTAACCCTACACTCACCTCCGAGATAGGCTCCAGACCAAGGAACCACGTGAACCAATAGTCTGTATTACCCCCCCCCACCCCCCCAGGCTATTAACCACTTTCCCTCCTGAGGATTTAGTCCTCTTCCTGACCAGGCCATTTGTTGCATTATGGCGTTGCATTACTTTGACAATTGCGCAGTCATGCAACTCTGCACCCAAATAAAATTTCAGTTCATTTTTTCCCACATATTGAGCTTTCTTTCGGTGGTAGTTGATTGTCTGTGTGTTTTTTATTTTTTGCGCTATGAAAATAAAAAAGACCAACACTTTTGAGAAAAAAATATTTTTGACTTTTTGCTATTAAACATGTCCAGTAAAAAAAATTTAAAAAATCAAATTTCATCATAAATGTAGGCCAAAATGTATTCTGCCACATGTCTTTGCTGAAAAAAAAACCCCAATACGTGTAAATTAATAGGTTTACGTGAAAATTATAGCGTTTACAAATGGCGGTATATATACTGGGCTCTTTTTTTAAAATTTGTACTAGTAATGGCGGTGATCAGCGACTTATAGCGGGACTGCGGCGGGTATTCTGACACTGGGGGGAACTGAATTGGTGTCACTGACAACCCCAGTGACACCAATACAGTGATCAGTGCTAATAAAAAGCACTGAAACTGTACTAATGGCACTGGGCAGGATGGGGTTAACATGAGGGGTGATCAAAGGGTTAAGTGTGCTGGGAGTGTTTTACTAGGGGGTGGTGACTGTGCTTCACTGCAATCACACTGCAGCCATCCAAAGCAGTGTACCCAAGCTGACAGGGAGGAGAACTGTTTGTAAACAAAACAGTTCTCCTCCCTATCGGAGATCCTCAGAAATCACGGGGCGCCGGCGAGTAATCACCGGCCTGGACCCGGTGATTGACGACTGCGAGTAGGGAGCATGCCCGGCTTGCACACGCCCCCTACCCGGAAATGCAAAATCACCTATATATACGTGATTTTACGCACCTGTGCCACCCTGTAGCAGTATTTCTGCTATAGGGCAGTCGGGAAGCAGTTCATTCCTACTCTGTGTATTATCCTCAGTCTTTGTATCACCTCCCCAGTCTATTACCTCCCAGTCTGTGTATTACTCCCCTAAGTCTGTTCATCACTCCCCAGTCTATTACCCCCCATGTCTGTGTATTATTTCCAGTCTATTACCTCCCCCATCTGTGTTTTACCTCCTCAGTCTATTACCCAACCCTCAGTCTATTACACTCCAGTCTGTGTATTACCTCCCCAGTCTATTACCCCCCCAGTCTGTGTCTTCCTCCCTAAGTCTGTTCATTATTCCCCAGTCTATTACCACCCCCCCCCCCATGTCTGTGTATAATACCCAGTCTATTACCCTCCCCCTGTCTGTTAATAATTCCCCAGTCTTGCCACGCCAGTCTGTGTATTATCCCCAGTCTATTACCCCCCCCCCCAGTCTGTGTCTTTCCTCACTAATCTATTACAATCCCCTCAGTCTGTTACCTCCCAGTCTGTGTATTACACCCCTAAGTCTGTTCATTACTCCCCAGTCTATTACCCCCCATGTCTGCGTATTATCCCCAGACTATTACCCCCCCCCCAGTCTGTGTCCTTCCTCACTAGTCTATTACGATCCCCTCAGTCTGTTACCTCTCAATCTGTATATTATACTCCTAAATCTGTTCAATACTCCCCAGTCTATTACCATGCCAGTCTGTGTATTATCCCCAGTCTATTACCCTCCCCCTAGTCTGTGTCTTAGTGTCTTACCTCCTCAGTCTATTACCCAACCCCCAGTCCATTACACTCCAGTCTGTGTATTACCCCCCAGTCTGTGTTTACCTCCCCAGAGGAGGAGGACGGGCGCAGCTCCAGCATGTACGCTAAACTCGATGCCACCTCGAAGCTGCTCCAGGAGGTGATTGCGGAGGCTTCCCTGCAGGACGCCGTGGGATCCATGGGGTGCGGCTCTGTGAACTACTCATGGAGCCGCCCCGATGGATCTGTGCGTTCCAGGATTGACTTTGTGCTCACCTCTAGGGCAGTCAGGCACCGTGGGTTCTCCATGGTTCCCTGCTTTTTCTCTGACCACAGGGCCATTCACTTTCGGGGTGACCTGGAAGAGGGCTTTGCCCCCGGCCCGGGCTCCTGGAAGCTGAATTGTACTCTGTACAATTAGTGGTACAAGTACTGTAAACATTACAGAGTCATGCAAAATACGGATGTTACACTTTACAATAAGCATCGGGTGTGTGGGGGGGGAAAGGGGAAAAGAAGGGGACACAGGCCCGAAGCTTTATTGAAGGGACAAAGACACGCAAGGGGGAGTAGGGGGAAGGGGAGATCTTCAGATGTCCTCTTCCTCCTTAAAGTCCATCAAGGTATAGTCTCTGAGCAGACTGAGGATCAGTCTGCGGCAGTCCTCAATGGACATCCTCTCCCGCTGGTGGATGAGGCGCTTCCTGGCGCACCATAAAGCGTCCTTAAAACAACACAGCACCCGCCAGGCGCTGTCAATGTCCTCCAGAGAAAAAGTTCCACAGAATAGTCCATTCAACACCCCAAAGTGTGTGATGGCTGTCTGTGGTACAAAGTCCTTGAGTTCAGGTTCCAGGGCCCTCAACAGGTCCGCCTGAGCAAAAGAGCACTCCGCCCAGAAAACGTGATGAGACGTTTCCTCATGGATGATGCAGAAGGGGCACATGTCTGTATCTGCTCAGGTTCCCCCTGGCATGCATAAATGTCCTGAAAGAGTGCAAATATTACTGCCCTGAGGCCATACTGATCTGAAGTAATTCCAACCGCATTCTCAGCGTCCATTAGTCACCCTGCGGCCCTAAGAGACACAGGGTGACTTGCACTTAAGAGGGATATGGGGAGCTGAGACAGGGGTCTCCCAACCTCTGCAAAGTAAGCTGGGTTCCATGAACCCCCCACCCAAAGTGATTCCTGTCACAGACGTGGTATACTTGGATTTTGCAAAAGCGTTTGACACAGTTCCCCACACATGGCTAATGTGTAAGGTAAAGTCTACAGGCTTGGAAAAATCCATATGTAAATGGATAGAAAACTGGCTAAAAGATCGTATTCAGGGAGTAGTGGTTAATGATTCATACTTGAATGGTCTAGGGTTGTCAGTGGTGTACCCCAAGGTTCAGTGTTGGGGCCCTTACTTTTTAATATATTTATAAACAATATAGGGTCTGGGATTAAAAATACAGTCTACATGACACCAAGCTGTGCAGTGGAATAATGTCCTTACAGGATGTCTTCAATTTACAAGCTGACCTCAATGCACTGTTTAATTGGGCAAGTATGTGGCAAATGAGGTTTAATGTTGATAAATGTAAGGTGATGCACTTGGGGGCTATGCATCATACATACTAGGGGAGTACAACTGGAGAAATCAATGGTGGAGAAGGATCTGAGAGTTCTGGTAGACCACAAGCTTAAAAATGGCATGCAATGCCAAGCTGCGGTTTCTAAAGTGAGCAAAATCCTCTCTTGTATTAAAAGAGGTATGGACTCCAGAAAGATATAATTTTACCCCTGTACAAATCATTAGTATGACCTCATCTGAAATATGCAGTTCAGTTTTGGGCACCAATTCACGAAAAGAACATTGGGGAACTGGAGAAAGTACAGAGAAGGGCAACCAAACTGATAAGAGCTCAGCTATGAGGAAATATTAGAAGAACTGAATTTATTTTCTCTTGAGAAGAGGAGATTAAGGGGGAATATGATCAACATGTATAAATACATCAGTGGTTCCTATAGTGAACTCGGTGTAGAGTTATTCACCCTGAGGTCATCACAGAGGACAAGGGGGCACTCTTTACATCTGTAGGAAAAGAAATTTAATCTCCAAACATGGAAAGGTTTATGCACAGTGAGAGCTGTGAAAATGTGGAATAGACTCCCTGAAGAGTTGGTTCTGGCCAGCTCAGTGGTTTGCTTTAAAAAAGGCATGGATTCTTTTTTAGACACACAGAATATAACTTGATACTAACATTTATAGGTAAAGTTGATCCAGGGAATATCCAATTGCCTCTTGGGGATCAGGAAGGAACTTTTATCCCTGCAGGAGCAAATTGGATCATGCTTTGCTGGGGTTTTTTGCCTTCCTCTGAATCAACTGTAGGTATGGGATTATAACTTTTTTTTTTTTTTTAATGGTTGAACTGGGTGGACTTGTCTTTTTTCAGCCAGACTAACTAATGCATTTCTTGCATTTTATTAATAATACACTCTGCTGTCCTTGTGGTGACCATGAATATGATTGGCTCTGCAAAATTTGGCCCCTCATAAACTACCTCTCCAAGAAATTTGTAGATGTGTATGTGCCTGAACAAAACATCTGCGTAGACGAGTCTCTCATACATTTCACTGCCCACCTTACAATTAAGCAATATCACCCCAACAAGTGTGCCAGATCTGGGATCAGAATGTATAAGCTCTGTGAAAGGGCAACAGACTATACATACAAATTTAGAGTTTATGAAGGAAAAGACAGTGAAGTGGAACCCCCGACTGCCCAGACTACATGAGGAGCAGTGTCAAGATAGTGTGGGAAATGGCGTCACTTTTGTTTCCTAGGGAGTTCCATTTGTTCATGGACAAATATAATGCAAGCGTGCCACTTTTTAGACACTTATTCAATCTTTGAATTGGCTGTGGCACTGTGCAACCCAGTCACTGGGGCTTCCCCCAACAGCTTGTTAACACCCGGTTTAGGGTGAGAAAGTCTACTTGAGCATTGGTGAACGTTTCACATTGAAGGGGAAGAACAACCGGGATGTTTTTGTCCTGTCTTCCACTCATTCAGACACGATGGTCCAAATTAACACTGCATCTGGTGTCGTTGAAAAGCCTCTCTGTATCCACGACTATAATCCAAATACGGGAGATGTAGACTTCAATGACCAAATGTATGTTAAGCTGTACGTAGTTTCCCGTAGAGTTAGATACTCATACAAAAAAGTGTCTATTTATTTAAATTGGCTATATATAATGCTTTTGTTATATACAAAGCAACTGGAAGAACTGGATCCTTCCTAAAATTTCAGGAAGCGATCATCACAGCCCTTTTGTATCCAGAAGGTGCTGTGGCCCAAACCCCAAATAGAGATGCAGTTAGTCAGCTTCATGAGAGGCATTTTCCAGGTGTTCTCTCTGGTAGCCCAACCCAAAGGTCACCCTAAAGAAGATGTCTGTAGTAGATGCGAAATAAAACGAGACACCTGTTTTTTTTTTCTGTCACTTCTGTCCTGGCCAACTGATCTCTGCATTAAGGACTGCTTCTATCGCTACCACACACACTAGTGGCGTATTAGTCTAGAGTACAACATGGAAAAAAGATGATGGCCGCACACCAGAGACTTATGCCCTGTACACACGATAAGAAAATCGTCCGAAAAATTTCACGGAACCGTTGATCGAACGATTTTCTCTTTGTTGATGAGTAGGATGTTTTAACCGATAACATTATTGTGAACAAAAAAAATCCGGTTGAACAACAGTGAAAAATGTTGTCGTTTTGCATACGAACAACCAATTTTCTATGCGGTGGTATGACGGTCATACGAAAAAAATCTATCAAGTGCTATCACGCATGAGCGGAAACAGAAGATGACTCGGATGTTTATATCCAAGGAATCTTCGTAAACACGAACAAAAAATCCAAATGTTAAAAGTAGATTGGCCTAATGAGATAATGAAACCAGAATTATGCAAATTATATTTTTATGTATCACTATTTATCTATATAGGTAATGAAATAAACTATATTATACTCATTGCTGTTAATTGTTGTGTATATCGTTCATTCTGGCTGGAAGGGCATGGCTACAAAATCACATGCACACTGCATCACTTACACTTGTACGGAAGACATTACATATTGCCCAATGAATGATTTTTTTAGATTGGTTAATGTGGGCCACGATTTCGACCAACCAACCAACACCTC